TGAAAAAAATTAATGACTGAATTATAAATAATCTAAAAAGAAATCTATGCATAGAAGAAATCCAGAAGGAAAAAGATCCAAATATTAAATTCAGTAGTTGAGTGATTTCTGAATTTCCCATGTTTTTTCTTCTTTCTAGCTCTTTGAAAAAAATTTTTAATTATATTAATACTTCTAATCAGGAGAAAATATACTTTTTTTTAAATCTCCTCTTTGAATTAAGGTAGTGGGTCGGATTAAGAATTCAAAAATAAATGACATTTGAGCTGTCAAGGTCACAACTCAGACTGAAATAAAGGCCCCAGCTTCTCAGCCTTTTCAGACAATGCATATCTGCCACCACTACTTTTGTCCTTGCTGCTCAGATGCCACCTCAACTGTTCAGGAGAGCTGAGCTATAACCACATCACATCTGGAAGCTGAGGAGCTCTCCTGTTCCTGGGCCACCTGTAGCCCAGACATCTGGTCCCATGTTCCCCAAAATGACATTCAGGACACAACAACATGAACTGAGGGTGAACTCCATGCAGATTTCAAGGTTAAGTTTATAAAAGCTTCTGGTTTTGTTTCTTTTAAAATTAAAACAAATTTTTCAAAAGTAGGAAACCTAGCTCACAAAGCAAAAAATAAAACAAAAGAAAAAACTGTGGTAGTGCTTAAATAAACTCAGCCAACAGAAGGCAAAGAGGGACTGGAATGCTCATCTTGAGCAAGATTCAGAGCTACCTGGAGCTAGGAGGAGCTAAACCAAGTCCTTTTTATTTTTCTTTCCAAAATCTGTAATTTGTATCCACCAAGCACTTTTAGACAAGTAATATCTCCATTTCTCCTACCAACCCTATGAAGTATTGATTATCATGCCCATTTAAGTGACCGAGGCTCAGAACTGCTGAGTAGTCTGTTTTTAGACCACAGATGCAAGTGATTCCAGAGCCTATGTGCTTTCCACAGCACTGCATTACCCTGTCTTCCAATTAATAGCAATAAACATGCAAGAATTAAAACAAGCAGACTAAATTTAAATAAAGAAGATTAGAGACAGGAATATCAGGGACTTAAAAGACATAAGACAATAATGATTACCATTAAAAGTTATTATAATGTGATGAAAGTTCTGTAGAATTATCAAACAAATAATGATGACAGGGCCACTTTTAAAAATCCAGGCTCAAAGAATTCAAATGCAGAGATTCTATTTTCATAAAAATACCTTTCAAGTTAACTTTTCATTAAGTGGCCCTTCAGAAAATTTCTTTGGAAGGCCTTTTACCTTTTTCTGCATGACATCCAGGTGGCAAATATTTAGCCCAATTAGGTACAGTGAGAAACTAAAGGCCAAACATAATATTAAACAATTTGTTCTTGATCATTATGCATAAACATAGTAGAGAAAAATCAAAAAGCCCAGGGTTCAAAGACCCTGGGTGACTCTGGAGAAAGCTAACTTCTCTGCAGTTCCGTTTCCTAATTGTGAAATGTGAAATAATGGCCTCTGTTCTCATACAGTTATAAAAATTAAAGGTGACACATAAAGTACCATTTCAGTGTGTACAGGATAAATCAACCTAGTTTCCCTTTCCTGCACTTAAACCATTATCTTTCATTCCAATCACAAGATAATAGGAACATTGGCTTACACTTGTAGTCCTAGCACTTTGGGAGGCCAAGGCAGGAAGATTCCTTGAGGCCAAGTATTTAAGACCAGCCTGGGCAACATAACACCCCATCTCTACAAAAAAGAAAAATTAGGCAGGCGTTGTGGCACACGCCTGTAGTTCCCGCTACTTGGAAAGCTGAAGCTGGAGGATTGCTTGAGCCTGGGAGTTTGAGGTTGCAGTAAGCTATGATAAAGCTACTGCACTCTAGCCAAGAAGCACAACAGACCCTGCCTCCAAAAAGTAAAATAAAATAAAATAAAAGGTAATGGAGAGGTTCCTCAAACCACAGAGAATTTGAAAAGCAAACCAAAGTAACTACTATATTTTTGTGCCAGAAAACTATACTGCCTAAATTAAGGGTGAGCTAATAACATTTATTGTACCCAGATACCTTTTCCTGTTTAATCCCTATAAGGATAATTTGACATAAGTGTGATTATCCAAATTTTACGGCTAGGTGCTCGTAGCTCAGCAGTTAGGGCTCCAGCCACATACACTGAGGCTGGCAGGTTCGAAACCAGCCCAGGCCTGCTAAAAACAACAATGACAACTATAATATAAAAAAATAGCCAGACGTTGTGGCAGGTGCCTCCAGCTACTTGGGAGCCTGAGGCAAGAGAATCACTTAAGCCCAAGAGTTTGAAGTTGCTGTGAGGTGTAACACCACAGCACTCTACCAAAGGCGACATAGTGAGACTCGGTCTCAAAAAAAAAGGCAAATTTTACAATGTACAAATAGGCTGAGAGCACAAATATCTTGCCTAAGGTCACACAGCTAGTGAAAAGCAGAGTCAAGATTCAAATCTATGTCCCACCCCTGTGTTCTTCCCAGCAAAAATAATATGGTCCATGCATCATTGCACTAGATGCAGCTGTTTAACAGATGGAATAGCACAGAGTTTCCCGTGCGCACACACAAAAAGGCGTGCACGTCAACTACTAAGATCTGTATAAAGTCAGCAGACTACACTACTGCAAACGGCCTGTTGCGAGATGTCACCTGTGGGAGAACTGGGCAAACAGTCTAAGGAATATACGTATAAATTGACAATTATCTCAAAATTCAAACAAATTTTCTTAAAATGGATTGGGTAAATCTACAAATACTGCCATAGCAAGAATGGCAGATTAAGAAAAAAATGTTAACTTTTTAAAGTTTATACACATATGTATAAATACTCATTAACGAGTCAAGGCGTTTACAGTGAACGTCGTTAAGAGCTGAGTTTATGGGTGATCTCTATTCACCTCTCTCTACTATTTTCAGTATTTTACAAATTTCCTACAATGTTTATTTTTATAGCTTTGAGGAATGCTATTTCCATTCAAAAATCTTTTTCTTAATGGCTGTGGAGGTAGCAGTAGCTAGCCCGTACTTGAACTATAACCCTCACCATGTCACACCAGTCACCAGAGTTCATATCTCTGTGCTTCTGAACTTTGGCAACTACTGAAGAGTTTAAATATACTTGTTATCAATTCCAAGAATAGCCAATGCTTTGGCTATTTTACTCATGATACAATTGGTTCAAATCACAAACTATTCCCCAAAAATCCCAATAAATGAAAGAAAATGCTTCTACAAGTGTCTGTGTAACACTCAAACTATGTCTACTCCACAATGAAATAGTCAACATAAACACAGTATGTGCATTTGCTCACATACAACCAGAGAAATAGAAAAAACAGAGGCTACAAAGACAAGACTTGGGCTTGGGCACAAGCTCACTGAAGTTTGTAAACCTGCTAGTTCCTTGGGTAGGTAAATGAAGGTTCCCTGAAGGGCCAAACCCGATGTGTATAAAGTAAGGAGTCAGGACAATTCCTGATCTCTGCACACCGCAAGACAAGAAACTGGACCAACACTAAGTCACAAGACCTCAAAAATCAGCCTGAAAGTTGTTCAACTAGGACTGACAGGTACAGTTATTAATAAAATGTAAGTAATAAATCTGGGTAACATTTAATTCACAAGATTCCTTTTTCTTCTTCAAGGCCCAACGTAACAAGTACAATATCACAATGCTTTTAAGGATGTCTGATCTCTCTGGTTATCAAACGGCAACATACTTTTTTTCTAAGCAATGGAAAATATGAAAGATTTTCCAAAAAATTCAGCTTTTAAAAAGTTTTTTATTTTCTAAGCCAGGAAAAAAAAAAAACAGTCTAAAGTATAATCTCAGCTCCATTTCCTCACCCACTGTCAAAATGGTGGGAGAAGGCAATCTGAGACGCCCCAACCAGGACTTAAACCAAATTACTTCAATTATTCTTATTGTGAACCAAAGCTCTGCAAAGATAAGGCATGGGATACGAATCTTAGAAATCAAATGGTCTTAAATTAGATTTAACATCCAACTTCTTTACAACCAAAAGCAACATCAGTGCAAGCCTTAAGAGGAGAGAGCTTTAGGCAGTACAGACTTATTCTGATGATGGAACTTTATTGATTCATTAAATTATTAATAATAGGTACAAACTGTATAGGGAAACTAGAAACATGAAAAAAAATGTTCAAATAACAAAACACAAAATTAAAATTAGAAGCATACTGCAAGGGACTGATCAATAGGAATCCTTGCAGTACAAGGCTGTGGGGCAAAAGAGAAAAGCAGGCCAGAAAACAGCAACGCCTGGAACAGAAACCTGGAAAGGAGCAGCTGGGGCCAAAGAGCCAGGTGAGGGGAGGTGTCAGAGACAGGTAAAAACACGACCCTGGGAGTGAGACTGGGGTCAATCCAACCTCTACCACTATCACATATGGGACCCTGAACAAGGTACCTGAACCCAACCCGGATTTCCTTAGCAGTGAAATAAGAGTATTAACAGTGCCTACTTTGTAGAGTTACTGCACAGATAACTGAGATAATATGGGGAGCGCTGAGCAGGGCTTGGCACATAGTGTGTGTCTGATAAATGTCTACTGTTACTATCAGCAGTTACTGCATTTAAATCCAACTCCACCACTTGCTAGCTGGGTGACGATAACCAGGCTGCACACCCTCACTTGGCCCCAAAACCTCACAAATACCACGGGGCTGATAATTACCTTCCCCACAGGCTGTGCAGACTGCTGAGATAATCCACATATATTGGACCATTACTTGGCACAAAGTAAACTCAGCACTCCTAATGGTGGGGGTGCTTGGTGGGGATACTTAGCATTATCATTATCATACCGAGGAGGGGCCTGGAGACTCTCCCTTTAATTACATGAGCTAATTCTATCACTAAAGACCACCCACGGTTGTCCTTATATTAAAATCACCCAAGAGCTGCAAAGTCCTCACCTCCCAGGAGTCAGGATCAAAGAGCCAGCCACTAAGGCAAGTGAGCACTCACCTGGAACTCCTCCCTCTGCGCAGCCTCTCGGGCTTCAACAAAAGCAGCGCTGAGCTCTTCGATCTCAGAGATAAGTTCTTCAACCTGGGGAAAAATAAGGACTCACAGCCAAGTACGCAACTGGGCTCTCCTCTCCTGCTCAACTGTGTATGGTTTCTATGGTCAGAAAAGACCTGAATGAGATTTCTAGTAGGCTGACTTCAGGCAAGGTCTCTTTGAGAATCCCTTTCCTCAAGTGTTAAATAAGGGTACCACCACTCACCCAACTGTTGTGTTAGGGTTAAATGGGAAATGTGTGTTGGTGCTAATCCAAGTCCTGGCTCCCACTAAGTGTTAGCATTATTATTACCCATATAGAAGACCAGCCAACAACCTGAGGCCTGGCTAGTCCCAGACTTCCTCATCCTCTAGTGCAGCAGCTCTCAACCTACGGGTCGCGACCCCTTTGGGGGTCGAATGACCCTTTCCCCTTTCACAGGGGTTGCCGAAGACCAGGCATCCTCAAACTATGGCCCACGGGCCACATGCGGCCTGCCTAGGACATTTATCCAGCCTGCCGGGTATTTTTGCCGCCACTGCCTGGCCTGCTTAGCAGCCGACTCATCCCGGGGCCCGCAGTCCAGCCCTCCAACGGTCTGAGGGACAGTGAACTGGCCCCCTGTTTTAAAAGTCTGACAACCCCTGCCTAAGACCATCGGAAAACACATATTTCCGATGGTCCTAGGAACCGAGACACCGCTCCTCTTATAAGTGTGGGGTCACCACAACATGAGGAACTGTATTGCGGCATTAGGAAGGTTGAGAACCACTGCTCTAGTGACTTTCTCCCATTCCCAGGTGTCAAACATGAACTACTGACAAGTCCTGGACTATCACAGTGTCCCAGCACTGGTGTCACAACCTCAGCTCCAACCTCAGCAGGGCCTTGCCCTCCCAACACACGATACAAATTATAACTATTCTTAGGAGCCAGATCTCCGCTGCATCTGACACTGGTTATTACTCAAACCCTCACTCTTCTTCAGCTTCTCCAACACCACAGTTTCCTGGTTAGTTTCCCTCTCTGCAGCCATTCCCTCCATCTCCTTTGCGGACTCCTTTCCCCATCTTAGAAATCCTGCCGTCACCTGCAGTCCTATCCTTAGCTTTCTCCTTTCCCATTCTACACTCTCTGTGAACCGGTAGGTCAACTCTTAGAATTTTAACTCACATTTGTATACGAGTCATTCCCCGAGCAACCTCTAGAGAATTGAGTTCTCTCCAAGCTTTAGACATCACATCATCTGCCACCTAGAGGTCCTGGGTGCTCCTCAAAGTCAAAACTTTCTAAACAGACTCACCACCTCCCTCTCCAGACCATCTCGCCATGCTCTACTTTATTTTCTTCTTCTTTTTTTTTTTTTCTTTTGAGACAGAGTCTCACTCTGTCACCCTGGGTAGAGGGCTGGGGCATCATAGCTCACAGTAACCTCAAACTCTTGGGCTCAAGTAATCTTCTTGTCTCAGCCTCTCAAGTAGCTGGGACTACAGATCTGGCTACTCTGTTTTTAGTAGCAACAGGGTCTCGCTCTTGCTCAGGCTAATTTCCAACTCTTGAGCTCAAGCAATCCATCTGCCTCAGCCTCTCAGAGTGCTAAGATTACAGGTGTGAGCCACCATGGCTGGCCCCATTCTCTATTTTTCTGTGCTTTAAGGTAAGTTGGTAGCACCACCATATCCTAGTCATGCAGAGCCAGACACCTAAGGCATCCTTGACTGCTTCTTCTCTAAAGTCCTACTTTAATCATCTAATTTTCCCAGCTATATTTCTAATATTTCTAATTTCATTTCTTGAATGAACCCCTACTCCTCCATTCCTACTTGTTGCTCTAATTCATTGTTTCTTGGTTCTTAACTCAGCTACTGGCCTCCCTGCCTCCACTGTCTCCTGTAATCCACTCCCCAAATACAGCCAGACACCTCTCTAAAATGAAAATGTGCTCATACCCCTCCTGTTGAAGAGCCTTCAATGGCCTGAGTGCTACCCAAGCAGCTCAGAAGGATAAGGCCCTCCACCAGCGAGCCCTTTACACCTGCTCCGGCTTCTTCTCTTGCCTCCCTTAAGTATTACACTCTGTGCTCTGACAGCTCCAAACTATCTGAGGTATGCATCCCTGTCTTTCCTGTCTTAATGCCTGAATAATGAATGTCCTATGCCTCTGTCCACAATGCCATGCCTGTCCCTACCTGCCTTCCCACCTAATTCCTACTCACCCGTGAGATGGAGCTCAGCCTCTTCTCCTCTGCACACTGCTCTCCACGTCCATGTCCAATCTAGATCAGGACCCTCTGTACCTCCCCAGCCCCTGCACTTCCCTCAGTCACAACACCCATCACCTATACACCCCACTAAACTTGGAAACAGAGCTGGGTTTTCTTCTCTGAGTCTGTGCCTAGCACAGTTACTGGGACACAACCAACTGCTATACTAAGATGAAAAAACAGCACAGAACTGTCTGCCACCACCTTGGATCCCAAATTCAACAGGGTGCCCCAGATAGCTCTATCACTGGTTCATAGGCATGGCCTTGCCTCCCCAAACTCCTTTGTCTCTTTCTGCTATCCGTCAAAAGACCACACCTGCAACTAGCCACATGCAGCTCTTGGCAAGCAAGATGTGGTTAGTCTAAATTAAGATAAGCTACGAGTACTTCTGGACTTCGAAGACTTCGCTCTAAAAAAAAAAAAAACGTTAAATACCTCATTACTGCTTTTGTTTTACTAATTACATGTTGAAATGATTATGTTTGAGATACAAATATATAATTATTAAAATTAACTTCACTTGTTTCTTTTTACTTCTTTTAATGTGGCTACTAGAAAATGTAAAATTATACACCTAATTCATATTTCTACTGGACAACACTGGATCAGACACACCCAAAGGATTTCCAACTGACTAAAGAATCGTTTTCCCACTTTCACTCCTATCTCAGCTCTCTAATAAACTTTTATCTAACGCTAAAAATGCAGGGTAAGACAGACCAGTCACAGGCGCTAACAAAGAAAAATCTCACTTCAAGTGTGTCAGACATACCTCTCTGTCCTTTGATTTTAATGCCATGGTTAAACCCTGAATGGCTTTATCCCTCTTTAAACTATTTTTCTTCTCGATGGCAATTTCTCTTTCCTTCTCTTGCAGGTCCTCCTGAAGTGCCTAAATTAGATTAGAAAAAGATTCACTAAGTTGATGCGTTCCAACCAAAATGCACTGTAAATATATCTTTAAGAGCACACTCAAATGCAGTTATTCTATCTTATTCCTGTCAACCTGTGATTAATGTTTCCAAGTGGAGCTGAACGCAGTGGCATTGGCTCCAAGTTACTGTGTTACTGCTCATGGCAACAAGCTGGGTGAAGGGAAAGGGATCAGATCAGTTAAGATGATGACAGCTATTCCTATGGGAAGGATTCCAGTGCCTTCTGGAATTTGAATACAGTCACATCAGAGTCTTTCATACCAGGTTATTTAGGGGAAATAACAGATCATTAATTTCATTCCTTTTGATGGAGACTGAACTACACATTGATAGTCAGTACATTTCTGAGGATAATCACTGCCGCCTTCCTCCCGGGCTGCTGCGCAGATCAAATGACATAATGGATGTGAGAGCACTTTCTAAGCCGGCAGGCAGTACACTAACGCCAGCTGCCGTGACCGAGGGACCACAGAGCTTTACCTCTTCCTGGCAGACGGTGGGTGAGCGACCTCACCTCTCTGAGCCTCAGGAACCACATCTGTAAAGTGGGTGGGACGGCTTCACAGGGTTATTGCAAAGACTGAGAACCCCTTTCTAAAGCACCTTACACTGGACTGGCACACAGTAGCAGTCAATAAATGACAGAAACAGTTACACAGAATTTTCTGTTGTACTCAGAATAAAACAAGAGGCAAGGATAGGATAAATTTTCAGTGAATTTTAAAAATCAACATACCTGGATCCTCTCCTCAAAGCGATCTCTCTCCTTCTGACGCTCCACTTGAGCAGCCTAAGAAAAAGCATCAGTGGGGTCCACAATCCAATAGCTTCATCAGAACAATTAAAATGACCCCCATTTACTAACTTCCCCCAGGACGAACCCATTGAAGCAAGTGTCCCTCCTTCCTGACTGGAGTGAAGGAGAACGTGAAGATAAGCAACCCACCTGACTGGCCACCAGCCCCATGAAGAGTAAACCAAGGTTCTGCTGAACAAGACAGGGAAGGCCTGCAGGAGGCAGCACCAGGGAGTGGGGATGGGGCTAAAAGGATAAACTCTAGTGAGGGATACTACAGAACCAAGGGGACAGAGGCCCGGCTCCATAAAGAAACCAAGACTTTTTGTGAACATCCAGAACATCACTAATGTGAACATACCTCAGGCAATGGAGGGCCTAGACTAAGACCTGCCTATGCATCCCCGCCTACCCACCCTCTTCAAAAGAGTTTGCTGGGGAGGCTGCCTAGTAAACCACCTCTTGGAACCTGGAAAAATATAATGACTCCTCTGAGCCTGGTTCTAAACTCAACAAGGAGACAATGCTCTCTACTTTACCAGGTGGCTGGGAAGATTGAACCAGATGAGACATTAGCCCCTCATATGCTGCCAAGCCCAATACAGGTGAGTTCCCATCCCCCACTACCTGCCAAGGTGCAGACTAAAGCTGGCCTTGAGCCTAACTCTAACTACAATGGCAAAATGGACACAAACAATGCACCACGAGTACATCCGAAGAAAACTCCCAAAATGGAAGTAAAAGTCCCTAGGCACCAATAAATAAATACATGGTGAAACAGAGGCAAGCAGGCATGGGATTGGTTTTTAAGCGGACTCTTCATATGAACAGGAGGCTGACAGGGCCACTGATAAGGCAGTTTGTGCTGGCTCCTCAGCTGACAGGGAACTCATACTCAGAAGTGAACTATGTGAACCTGAGGATGGACTATGAGCTAATTAAAGCCCTCCCCATCCCGTCCCATCACCTTACCTCCATTTCTCTCTCGTGTTCTTCCCTTAGAGCAGCAGAAAGTCCTCGGAGCTCTCCAGATGACACATTCTCATCAGGAGATGCCAGCTGAGATTTCTCCTCTTTAAGGCTCTGAATTAAAGCTTCTTTGCTCTTCAAAGACAGCTTCAACTCCTCAATCAGTCTAAAAGAGAACAAAATTTAAATATTAATTCTAAGCTATTCTCTTAGCTCAGTGGAGCAGGAGGAGGTAGGAGATGGGGCCAGACATCTTCAAAGGAGACATGTCCAGTGACTGAACATAAACGGAAATATCTTTTGCAGGTTGAAAATTAAGGGCCCGAATTTGTGTGACATTAACAGGTCCCCCTGCCTCTAGCCTGGCTCTAGTTGGTACAACTCAGAGCTGCCAGACCATGGTCTGGCCAAGTCACACATATGGAAGGTCCAAAGACCTTCAATGGTCTCGATGGCCCCCAATGCTGACAGCAGAGAATTATTCATTTATTTCTGACCAAGAAATTCTCTTTCCAAAAGAAATGTTACCAAAATCTAAGCAAACGAAACCAGTAAGGCAGAGCTGCTCCAAACAGGGAATGTCTCTCAAAGGCTTCTCAGGCAAGGTTTATACCACTGACTTTCGAGATCAAGCCCAAACTCCTGTGCAGGGCATTCGAGGCCCCAGCTCTGAGGCCACCAGATCAGAGGGCCCTGCAGACAGCCTCAGTCTCCTCTCTCACAGGAAACCATCACACAGTCAGCTGGAGAGTGAGAAGTCACCAAACTGTCATATATAATCTATATCTCAATGATAAAATTCTTATTTTTCTTCTTCTGTTTTTTAAGTTACCTTAAAGCAAGTTCTGGGAAAAACGGAATACAGCAGACCAAAATATAGCCAGACTGGATAACCAGGCCCAGCTAAAGGGAGCCACCAGACACTTGCCTGGGACTGCCACATCTTCCAGGCTTTCAAGAGGAGTTGGAAATCCAGACTGCTATGGGAAAGTCAGATTTTTACATATTGGCAGCTAAGTCAAACTCTTGAAAACACTGTAGGCCAATAAAACAAGTATGTCGGCCAAATGGGAACTGCAGGCTCTTCCACAACGATGGCCTTAAGGATACAGAACAGCTCGAAGATCAGAATGAAAGAAAGAAAGTAGCTAAAGCATGTCCCTTTGGAAAGGAGGGTGGACCAGCCTGGTGGCTCATCCGATAATCCTGGCACCTCTGGGAGGCTGAGGCAGAAGTTTGAGACCAGCCTGAGCAAAGCAAGATTCTGTTTCTACTAAAAATAGAAAAATCAGCCAGGCATGGTGATGGGCACCTGTAGTTCCAGCTATGTGGGAGGCTACAGCAAGAAGATCACTTGAGCCCAGAAGTTTGAGGTTGCTGTAAGCTAGGCTGACTCCCACAGCACTCTAGCCTGGGCAACAGAGTGAGATCCTGGCTCAAAAAACAAAAAGGAGAGGTGGAGCCCAGAGAGATACTGGTAGTACCCACCCACGTAAGGGGTGCCTGAACCCTAAAGATTTGACAGTCTGCCCTGCTCAACAGCAGGTCAGTCTGCATGGCACATCTGGGTCCATTTCACCAGGGCAAAACCAAGGACTCTGCTTCAACTCTGTGCTAACCTTCTGATCTGGACTAGGCAGGCTTCCATCAGGAAGGGGACACACTCATCCCAGGTCCAGGAGAGTTTCACAAGACAGCCGGAGATGGCATCCCGCTGCTGCCCTAGTCTCTGAGAGCCCATCTGGGACACATCTATCCCTGAAAGACGGACGCATCCACAGGACCGACAGATGGGGTTCCTGGGCCTGTCTAACCCATCTGTGGGAAATCCCAGGGAGAGGCAGACTTTAGCAAAGCTCTGAACTGGCCACCCACGTCCATAGAGACCCCAGTGAGTGCTTGATAAACACTAAACTAACCCTTCCCAAATTCCCTCTTTGCAGAGAAATGAGAAGTCCAGCATCTGTGGCACATGTCAGCCGGGACCACTTTCTTTTCTGATCACCTGGACATGTGCCAGGCTCTGCACCTTTGCATGTGCCATTCCCTCTGCTCGGCAAGGTGTCCTCACCCAGCTCCAGGACTTCTCCTCCCACCCCCGCCCAGGCAGAGGTGATCACTCCCTTGCTTTTGACACAACACAAAACCTTGGGCTCCTCTCTATCACAGCTTCAGTTACAACAATCTTTTTTTTGAATCTCTATACAAGGAGTTCCATATAAGCAGGATGGCATCCTTCCCTCCATTCCTTCACAGAGTGCATTCCCAAGGTCATGCTCAGCGGTGAGTTAAGGAAAGAATCTCTATCTCCTTTAATTGAAGCTGTAATCCATATGCCCAGCCACCCATACTCACAGATGCTCATAGAGTCCTCAAACCTAACTTGTCCCAAGTGAAAGCATCGTCTTTCCACTCCCTCTACCCAAAAACATTTCCCCTTTGTCCCTTTTTGTTCACCAAACTCTGCAAAATGTACTACCAGCCCACAGTTGCTCATACGAAAAACCTGGGTGAGGGGATACCACCGCAGCCTTTCCCATCTCCCCTAAATCCAGTCAGTCGCCAAGCCCTCCACACCCACCATGTCCACTCCATCTTCTGCCTCTGCCTGTTCTCCTGCACTCCTAGTTGTCACCTCCATCCTGGTCACCATCAGTTCTCGTCTGGATCTGTGAATTAGCCTGAAAAGTAGTCTTGCATCCAGCCCAGCACCAATCCATCCCCCAGACAGCAGCCAAGGGATCTCTCTAAATTTAAACCTGATTCCTGACATTTCCCCAAGCTCCACCTTAGTTCTTCAGTGGGTTGTTACATGCCTTTAGGTTAAAACCCAAACTCTTCCCAAGGCCCCGGTGATCTCCCCAGCTTTCCTCTCCTCACTTCTTCCCTACTCCTTTCTGGTACACAACACAGGACCTGGACCCTGCTGTGCCTTTCTGTGTCTCAGCCATGCCCTGTCCCTCTTGTCTTTGGACTTCCACACACACTGTGCCCGATGCCTAGAACACCCTTACTTCCTTTTCTTGATGCAAGCAACTCCTCACTCGAGTACTTCCTCTAGGAAGCTTTTCCTAATCCCTCCAAACTGAATTAAATATGTTAACCCATATTTACCCCATCCAGCACTTTTCATTCCGTTCCCGCCCCTTCCACCTAGCTAGATGATAAGCTTAAATTTAGACAATTTAGATTTCTGGAGAAAGAGACTCTATCTGTATCACTCACTCCTTTATTCTAATCACCACTGAGTTGAGTAGAAAATGCTCAGGAATAAAGTCTCATCCTGAGATGACTAATCACAAAACTTCCATCTTCCAGACCAAAGCTAAGAAAAGGTCACAGAACACCAAATAAATGGTCACTCCTCCAAATGCTGAAGGTCAGGCACTGACAAGGCAACCATGGGCTCTCCCTCAGGGGCTATACTCTTGTTCTGTTAATAACCTTATGAGGTTTGCTCACCTGAGTTTTTAACCCATAAATAGCAACAATTAGTAGACTCAGATCTCAAAAGGTGGTACAGACAGTAGTGTAAGCTGAGAAACCAGGGCAATCAGGCCCAAGGACCTAAACACCACCCTGGGCTCATCAACACAGGAGGCACAGCAAGATCAAGGAGAAGGAAGTGGTCTGAATCCTCTGAAACAGATCAGTGGTGCAGAACAATTTCCACCAACTTCCAAACAAGCTTGGCTCTTCAACCGATGGGTCACAGATTAGCCATCAGTTGCACTTACAGTTAGTTAACCCTCAGTAACTGACAAGGCAAGGCAAGAGTATCCCACTGTGAGAGTCATGGTAAAGACTACAATCAAATTTCTCCTGACAAGTCTTGACCAAGTTTGGCTGCAAGATATGATGAGCATTAAAGACTGCCTAAAGGCCATCTTGGCTACCCCTTTCTCTCATCTAAATGACTACATTTTACCCTGGATGGTGAAAAAGCTCTGTATTGGGTCTACGTTGTTGGTTTTGGTCCCCTGCACTAATGGTGGGCTTTAGCTGGCATTGAAAGATGACATGAAGGCCAGGCACAGTAGCTCAAGCCTGTTCCCAGCACTCTGGAAGGCCAAGGCGGGCAGACTGCCTGAGCTCACGAGTTCGAGACCAGCTCTGAGCTAGAGTAAGACCCTGTCTCTAAAAACAGCTGGGCACTGTGGTGGGCACCTGTAGTCCCAGCTACTCAGGAGGTGGCTGTGAGTACCATGACACCATGGTACTCTATCCAGGGGCAACTGAGTGAGACTGTCTCAAAAAACAAAGATGAGATAAAAGCAAGTCACTTAAATTCTACTTGTATTTACTGTGAGGCTGTAGTCACTCATTGTTTCCTCTGGAAAGAACCACAAGAAAAATTTCCCTCTCATAGTACCAAGTAAAACTGAGCTTCCTAGTTGCTGGCTTGCTTTATCTTGTTAACAATATGAATCTCAGGGCCACCAAGATTGTTTTTCCCTTTTTCCTTTGGCTATCAGGAAATTTAGAGCCAGAACTAGATGTTCAATTTATCATTAGAATGTAAGCAGAACTCCTCAGCACGAGTGTCAGCTAGCAGACATATGGGTGGACTCTATCTCTGTCCTCATGTCCCTTTCACCCTGTTTTTGTCCCTAGTTTCCTACCCCACTGTGTTGGGCATGTTTCAGTAAGTCACTCAAGTCCTGTGGGGAGCACGGAGAGGAGGAAGGGAAAGGAGGCCAGGAAAAGGATTAACTCCTTCCCCACGCGGTCAGACAGTGGGATGTCAGGGTAACAGAGACAAGAACCAGACCTGTCTTTCTCCTCCAGGACCAGCACCATCTCCAAGTCCCCCTCGCGGATCTTCTTCATCTCTGAGAGCTTGCTTTCCAAGCTCAGCCGCAGAGCCTTCTCCATTTCTGTCCCTGCAAAGGCCTTTTCCAGTTCTGCTTGGGCGGCTTTCACATCCTGGAGTTAAATTAAATGCATTTGATGCAATTTTTCAATACAATTGGGAACATTTTGAAAGGAAATTGGATTAAAATATAAATATTTATGACTTTTTCTCCGGCACATTTCCCCTCCCTAAATTGTATTATACATGGAGAGAATCGGTAATAAATACATTTGCCAGCCATTTTTCCCTCTTGTATCCTGAAGAGTAATAGGCATTTCCAATGGAAAAGATTCGACGCTACAAGAACTGTATTTTTGGTTTTGAAAAATCAGATCAATATTTATAGCTTCAATGTGAACAAGGAGAAATGTACCTCTCAACACTAAACATACGTAAATTTCAAAGAGCCACCATAATCTCCATACAAATTCACTCCACACCCACTGCCCCCCTTACTATCTTCTTAAGATAATGACTACACAATTCTAAACTACATTTTCTATATCTCCAAGGTGATCTAGGTGTTAAAAAAAAAAACTCTATGTTCTTCCTAAGAGCTCAGTGAAGCCTGCCAGAAAATTACCTAAATCATACAAGCAGCATCCGTGTGAGGGAAAAGGCCCTGGTGCTCATGAAAGTGTCCTCAGAGTAGACATGAATCTTCAACTACTCTCGTCATGCCAGCTGCCTCTGATTACATCACAACGATAAGAGTCAAATCAAACTGAGTTCAAAACTCAGCTCTCTCATTTACTTACTGTATGACCTCAGGTGGTCGCTTAACCTCTCTGAATCCCAGCTTCCCAATCTATAAAACAGGGATACCGACCATCCTATCAAAGAGCTGTCACAAGACTGTCAAGTGCCCGCTGGGTCACAGGAAGGTTATGGTGGCTTTCTCCAGCCCGCACTTGCCCTCCATAGAGCCTTCCCCACCAATATCTCCACAGGAGACTAGCCTGCCAACCTTGGTGGAAGCTGGAAAAAGTCATGTCCCATATTCTTAGACAACAAACAACAAATCCTGTTATTTACTAATGTGTACTAAATGCCAGGCTCTAAGCAAGGAGCTTGACACCTATTACCTTTGATCCTCACCCAACTTTACAAAGTTATGTATATGAGATAGTAGAGTATGGCAGTTCAGCAAGTCTGTGCCCAGACCACCTGACATTTACTGCCTATGTGACCTTGAGCAAGTGACTTAGCCACTCTGTCCCTGTTCCATCATCTGTTTAAAAAAAAGAAAGAAAAAGGATGATAAGCGTGTTTACCTCATTGGTTTACTAAAAGGATTAACTAACATCAGTGCAAGTTAAGAAGCAGAAGGTGGCTTACCCAACGGTACGCCTTCAATAAACTGTTAGTAACACAGTTATTATTACAATTGCCACTGCCAATTAGGTATCACCATCCTCATTTTACAGATGCAGCAGCGGAGTCTCAGGCAAGGCAAATGATAAAGCCAGGAAGTGACACAGCAGATGTGTGGAACTCCAAAACTTACTGGGGAAAAGTAGACGACTGAACAAACAGGTGGTATCTCATAATCACATTTTAAATAAAAACAGAATTGGGGATCTAGAAGACCTTTCTTTTAGTTCCAGCTCTCCCACTTACGATCTAGGCTAAGATTCTAACCTCTCTGAGCCTCCATTTCCTTGCCTGTATCTTGGACCTAACATCTACACGCCCTGAAGGGGAAGACACAAGGACTGGCGTGAACACCATAAATGGAAAACTGCAGGCTACAAAACGCAGTAACTGCTTTTTGCACCCCAGAGTGTTTTCTGGGGGCCATTCCTCTTCAAATCTATGAAGAAGAACCAGAGTTTCAGGTAGAGAAACGGAGATGAAACAACAGACATCAAAGACCAAGAAGTAAATAATATTACTTAATGCTAGCTTACAATGAAGGAAGGTGTTGTAACGGTAGAGAGACAGGAGTTTTGAGCCAGGAAATATCGTGACTCCTACCACAGTCTCAGAAACCCCTAAGTAAGAATTGTAAAAGGAGAAGCGACACACACTGCCAAACAGAGCAGACACTCAGTGAGCACTGGAGGACAGAGGGAGGAGGCTGGGGGCAGGAGCCGGAGCCCGAGCCAGACAGGCAAGCAATGGCCTAAAGGTCAGGAATCTCCTACCAGGCGTGGCTAATACCAGGAAGTCACTTCCCTTCTCTGGCCCGCAGCTTGCATGTCTTTAAAGTTAAAGACCATACTAAACAATAAGCAGAGTGGTATTTACAAAAAGAACACAGGCTCTAAAGCAGGGGTCCTCAAACTTTTTAAACAGGGGGCCAGTTCACTGTCCCTCAGACCGCTGGAGGGCCAGACTGCAGGCCCCAGGACAAGTCAGCTGCTAAGCAGGACAGGCAGCGGCGGCAAAAACACCCAGCTGGCTGGATAAATGTCCTGGGCGGGTCGCATGTGGCCCACAGGCCATAGTTTGAGGACGCCTGCTCTACAGTCATCAGTCACAGGTTTAAATCCAGGATTAAACTTGGACAAGTCAGTACTTGTCTCTGAACCTAAGTGTCCTCACACAGGAATGAAGACAGCAAGGGCCTGTCTGCAGGGTCTAAGCATTAGAAATTACAGGTGTAAAACACCTCCAATGAGGCTAGAACCCAGGGGATACTCGAGAAGGGTAGCTGTTGCTTCTGCTGACACTGACAGTTTATGAAAAAGGAAGCCAAGCTATTTACCCACTCTAAGAAAACATTCCCCTCAGGCTTCCCAGACTCACCTCTTCTAAAAGGAGTATCTTGGCGCTCAGGGCCTCTTCCACCTGCTGCACCTGCCTCCGCGCATCTTCCTTCACCCGCTGCACTTCAGAGCCGCCCCCCTCAGCTAAGGTCTCCACTGCTTTGCTGCAAACAGAGGCAGAGGGGCAGGACACAGAAAGAACAGTGTGCTGATGAGGTCAGCTGCCCCCAAGAGATGGGAGACACCTATTAGTCATTTCTCCCATAGACCTGTGCCAAACGTTTCAAAAACGCCAGAAGTTTTTATAACTTAATTTCTATAATTCAAAAACACAGATAAGAAAAAAAGTATCATCCGTAGTCTTTTTGCTAAGGATAACTAAGTCAACATTTTAGTACATAGTCTTTCAGACATTTTCTATAAAAATAAAAACATTTAGTACATATCAATTTTATTAGTAAACTATAAACATCCTTTTGTGCCAATAAAAATTTGTATCATCACTTTTGAAAGCTATCTATTCATTCAAAAATGAAATGTATGAATGTGCTAAATTTGTACGTATACATATTTATACCATATGAATGTACTACAATTTATTGAATCAGTTCCCTATTTTTAAAGTGTTTAAATTTTTCTGATTTAACAAACATTTATCTAGTAATACTTCACAAACTTCTGAGAACAGTGCCTGCCACAAAGTAAGTATTCAATAAATGTTAGTGTTATTGTTTATTATAACAAACAAGATGATGATAAAAGCACTCTTATATGAATATTATCCCATGATTTCTTGAGGTCTCCGAGAAAGGGAATTGCTGGGTCAAAGGTTAAGCCACTCTTCAGATTTTTAAGAGCAGCTACAAAACTTCCCACCAGGAGGTTTCCAACAAAGCACCCCCACCCCAGTGGTGTAGTGAAGGTGGATAGCTGGTCTGACAACCGAAGTGCAAAGGAGTGTTACAGGACGAAACCCATCTGTGACATTCAGAGTCTGTGCGCTTCACCGTCTCCCAAGTGAAGGGGAAAGAATCTTGAACGCAGCACCCTCAACCTGGGCAGGGACTGCACCGAACGCAGCACCCTCAACCTGGGCAGGGACTGCACCGAACGCAGCACCCTCAACCTG